TTGGGAGCCCAGGAGACACTGCCGACGCACTGCCTTCAGCATGGCCCGTCCCCAGGGCCCGAGCATGGCATGGGCAGCTCTTGGTTCTTCACGGGGCCATCGGCATTGGGGCAGCAAAGGGAAAAGTGGGGCTGGAAATGGCGTCAGCAGAGCAGGAGGGCTGGGGATGCGTGTCGCCTCTGCCCCGGGCTGCCAGGGTGGTTCTGGCCGTGGCCCAAGGCCAGCCTCATGGCACCCTCTGCACAAAGGTGGGTGGGGGGAGCAGTGGGAGCGGGGAGCAACACAGTGATTTCCCCTTTTATTTACAAAAATTTCCCACCTGGAACCTCACAGCCCTGCAGGCACCTCTGGGGAAGGGAAACCTCCCACAGCCTGCTCCACAAGCCAGGCTCTGCACGAGGGGAGGGCTCCATGGTGGCGAGAAGTGCAGTTTTTGTGGGGGTAGGACTCAGCGGGGCCAGGCAGAGCCCAGACATGTGGCCAGAGGGAAGTGGAGGAAGGAGAGAGAAGCAGGTGAGAGCCTGGGGGACTGGCACAGAGAGATTTAGGGTGAAGCAAATTTCATCCTCACTGCCCTTCAGCCACATCTTTGTCCAAGAGCCCTCCGAGCCAGGGTATTGCAGAGCCGCTGGGTGATAGCAGCAAGGCAGCACAAGAGGAGGGTGATGCACAACATGCTTTTGGCTTTAGTGGTGCTCTCTGCTTCGTTTCAGGGTCCATCACACTCACCCCCCCTCCAGCCATCCGTAGAGGCTCCCCAAGGCGCAGGCATGTCTTATGGCAATGAAAAACACCCATCGATGGGACTCAGGGCTGACTGCAAAGCAGAAACCCAACCCGGGGTGCATCAGGCTCTCACCTGCACACTGCAATGGGGGTGATGCGGGGGGCGGAGCCAGCTCCCACCACCACACAGCAAGCACCGGACCCTCGCTGCCCATGGCCAGCACCTCGCCGGGCTGTTGCCCGTCCCAGCTGCCGCCCGGGTGCCTTTCCCAGCCGCCGCAGGGGCTCTCAGCTGCCTGATCACCCGGCAAAGCCGACTGGGGCTCCCGCTGGCGCACTGCCCCAGATCTGCCCTGCCCAATAATTCAGACTGGGAAGCGCAGCCATCCTAATGCGGTTAATTAGCTGATTCATGAAGGTTACCGGCAAACAAAAGGCGCACAAACAGCCCAGGGCCACGTTATGTTCAGTGCATGCTTTGCTACTCTTACCTTCCCGTGGGTGCAGGCAGCGCGTGGCAGCGGGCAGCACGGGGCAGCAGCAGGCAGCCTGCAGGGTCAGCGTCATCTTGTCCTACCTTATCCAGCCCTGTCCTCCCCTGGCGGCACTGGGAGGGGGAAAGGAGGGCTGGGAAGGATCGAGTCCCTCTGTCCCTTTTGGGGGCAGAGATCCTGCTCCTGGGTTGCCAGGACAGAGCAGGCAGAGCCCAACCTGGATGTCAAACCGCTTGGACACAGGGACCTCAGGGCTGCCAGGTGACTTTGGCACAGTCCCATCTGTCCCCAAAGACAGGAGGGCAGAGGCAGGACTCAGAGCCATGTTTTCAGCCCAAGGTGCCTAACTCCTCCTGCCCTAGGGAGCCACCAGCCACCAGCCCCTCGGTGCTGTGGGACCTGGGCATGATCCCTGTTGGGGCTTGGCACCCACCTCACCCCACTTCACAGATGACATCCATGGCAGTGCTCCCTGCCAGCACCCCACACCACAAGAGGGGAGCAGGACCAGCCATCGCCATTGCCCCTCTCGCAGAGCATCCTGTTCCTATGGGATCCAGCTCTGTGCCAAAATCCCGCTTGCACCACCCTCCCTGTGCCAAAATCCTGCCAGCTCTTCCAGCACCCCAGGGCCAGGCAGGGTGCAGAGCACAGCAGGCACCCAGGAGAGACGACGAGCTGAGAGGGAACAAGCTGGGGACATGAAGCAAGGGAAGGAGGGGATGGCGGGATGCTCTCCTGGTATCCCAAAAACCAGTCTGGAAAGTGCTGCTGTTGCCCGGGTGTGCAAAAGGGGAAGGGTGACTAGCAGTGGAAAGGAATCTGCTCATGCCAGCTGTGGAAGATGGACACCAAGAAACCACCGGGGATGCTGGAGGAAGCCACAGGAGTGATGCGATGGCCCCGATGGTGAGGGACTTACAGAGCCAGGGACACCTGGCTGATAAACACAAGTGGCCAGAGGAGAGCACAGACACCTGAATTCCATGGGAGGAGGTGGCAAAGCCAGCAGCTGAAGCCAGATAAATTTGACTCCGGATCTGGGAGCGTTTGCACCCCTTGATGCTTCCCAGGATCCTTGCAGGAAACTCCCTGGCACAGAGCAGGGGCACAGGGAGAGGCAGGGAGATAGTTCTGGCTGCCCCGGGGCAGCGAACACCCTGTGCCGCCTGTTCATCCCCCACGCCCCAGCCTGTTCGGGTTTCCTGGCAGGTTGCCCTTGGCAGCACGACCCACGGACACCAGACAGCCACGGCCTGTCCCCACGGTGCTGCCGTGGGGGGGAGCGGTGGGGTGCGGGGCTTCCCCATCCCACAGCACTAGATGGTGCTGCAATACAGCGATATTGCCTGGGCTGCACCGCGCCGGCGGCCGAGCGGGGAGGACGCTGGTTTGGGTCACCGCGGCGGCTGGGGACCCCGG